TACACAACTAGCAAACTTGCACACTAGCTTAGCATTAGGCAGACACCGCACCCGTAGGATAAGACTGCGAAGACCCGGTCTACATACGACACACGACACCTGGGCGTTTCCCCCCGCCCCCCATGACAACAGCTAACTAGAGCTAAGGTCTGTGTCTCACAGACACCCTAAAGTCGAGCTGACCCCTTAAGGTTCGAGTGGTCTAAAGGCTCCAGACGGAGAGGAGACTGCTCCAGTGGGGGGATACCATCCGCCTGGAATACCTCTAGAGGCACTCGCCAATTCTCGGCTTGTGGTCCCCTTAGGATCTCGCCGTCCCCAAACCCGGTGACGCTGTAAAGATCATCTGCGACCACCAGCATACACACTAAAAAGCGTCGCGTCTTACGAACAAGTTGTGAGTTTTCGATCCACGGGTTGATTTTTACTCGCTTTAGAGTAAAACTCTCGAATAATACGTGATAATACCGTAAGTAAGTACGGAGCATGTCTTAACATGTCAAACAAAAAGTCGAGTTTTGGGTCGTTTGCTTTATCTTGGATAAGGAGTCTAGGCTCTAACTCCCAAAGTTGCAGTTGAAGATGAGCGGACCTGGAATAAAACCAATATACAACATCACATACATGTTACTAGCGGCCACCTGCGATATCGTCCGCGTTAACTATAGTTTTTTTTTTAGAAAACCCTCAGGAACACACTTTACCGCGATAAAAAGTAAGCTATGTCTCTTTCCAGGTTATCTGTGTCTGAAAATGTCATCCAAATCCATTTCGAGGTTTCTGCGTGATTGTGTTACAAACATATAAGCCAAAATTTACATGTTTGTGTGAATAATTTTTTGAGGTATGAGGGGGTTAAAAGTGGCTCCAAATGGTTATTGTAATATTAATATTACACACGGTTCTGATCGCCAGTTCTGTTAGGTTAAACTTTGGATGTAAATATAGTTAGATAACTACATGCTATTATTATATGTTTCAACAATTGAACCATGTTCGCAAATTATACTTGAAATTAGGTACAAACGAACTTTTGCTGTGTTAATGAGCCCATTAACACCAACTGTGTCAATAGACTGAAAATAAAGTGGTAAACATATTCACCAATACCGTCAAGTTCTAGTTGGATTTAGAAACGAATAGTTCCGTACAATAGAATAATCACAGTTCAAAACAATACAAATTAAAACAATTGTTTTAATTATGATTTTATTTATTTTTTAAGCATTTAACTGCTAGATGTTTAAAGCTAAAGAAAAGTTTACTAGAAAAAAATCCACGCGGACCAAAGGATGCGGGTTCGAGTCCCGTCCGCTGCCTGGTCCGCGTGGATTTTTTTCTAGTAAACTTTTCTTTAGACATAAACATCTAGCAGTTAAATGCTTAAAAAATAAATAAAATCATAACTATAATTGCTATTTCTTCTTTCAAATGTTTAATACTTGAAAAAGTATTCAGTTGACATTGTGGGTTACCTACAATGCGAAGAGATGGCGCTGCCTTGCAGCTTAAGGCTAGGAAAATTTCGACGCGGCTAATAGGGCCGTGGTAGCATAATGGTCAGTGCATTCGCCCGGATAGCGAAGGATGCGGGTTCGAGTCCCGTCCGCTGCCTGGTCCGCGTGGATTTTTTTTTCTAGTAAACTTTTCTTTAGAATTGTTTTAATCTAAAAAAATAAATCACAAAAAAATTACGATGCAAGAATAATGGATGATAATATAATAATTTGTAAATGTTGTTACATTATACTTTTGATGTTGTGGAGATTTTTTCGCTCGTTCTTCTCCGCAGCTAAAGAATATGTCCAATATGGAGTGGTATGGAAAAACAATTTGGACGATTCAAACGAGTTGTATTATACATCCAATTTGAATAAAAATATTATTATGATATATTGATTTCTGATTTATTGAGGACTTACTTTTTTTTTCTTCATCTGTCAAATCAGGTTAGGTTTCTTCGCATAATCAAAATATTACAGGAATCAGTCATCAAGATTGAATAATAAAATAATAGCAAAGTTTCCTTTCTACTCACCCGACGGGATTTAGTCTTTTCGGAGATTGCGATATCAGCTACTGTAAATTTTTTGACGTGACAACGTCTTAAATTAGGTTGCGGCTGGGAGTCACTTATGAAAAAGTGTAACGCTCGGTAACGTTACGATGAGTCTCTCGTGTTAAGTTTAAGTTTACATGTACAATGTTTTAGTAAACAAAATATATTTCTATAGTTAAAATTTGTGCAATTCTTATTTTCATTCAATTCCTTGTTCCTATTGTGCAATTTAATTATATTCATATCAATAAATATTCTACCGAGAAAAAGACGTTGTCACGTAAAATCTTCGCCCGTAAAACCGACTTTACAGGCAACCATTTTTATGGCCTTTTTTCTTATTGATCCAATGAACTGCTCCAATAAAAACTTATATTAATAGATACATCATTTTATTGTTAAAAAATGTTTATCCTCTTTTGTAAGTAATATCAGGGTTGGATGGGAGCGCGGCATGCTGCTTAATTACTGTGTGCATTATATACAATTGTCTAAGTGTTAGTACCTTACAAGATTTATAAAATAAAACTAAAAGAAACCGCAACATCATAAATGCTGATTACGCTATTAAAAACAGTAGAGTAGAAGAAGTCAATACAATTAAAGATCTTGGAGTTGTTTATGATAAGAAATTAACTTTTGTTTCGCACATGGAAGGGATAGTAGGTATAGCTAAAAAGGCTTCTAAAATGTTAGGATTTGTTCTTAGGAATTGTAAGTCATTTAGTAGCATCGATACCAAAATATTACTATATAACAGTCTAGTCCGTAGCATCTTGGAATATTGCAGTGTTGTGTGGAGACCACACTATGCTACGCATACATTACGCCTTGAAGGAATCCACAAAAGATTTCTGTGGCACTTATTTTTTCTGTAGGCTCAGCCAAAAAAATTAAATCATATAGGGGAAGACTGCGCTTTTTCAAAATTACCTCTCTGACGAAACGGAGGTCTCTCATGGATGCCAAATGTTTTAATTAATATCTTGAGTAATAAGATTTAATGTCCACAGCTGTTGAACATTGTCAGTTTACGTGTTCCATCTAGAATACCTCGTAAGCCAATCACGCCTCTCTGTCCATCTTTAAGAAGAACTGTTTAGGCGCTTACTCTCCTTATGCGAGATTCTGTAAAATTCTGAACGGCTTCAGTGATAAAATTGGTATACAATTTGATAGTCCCAGTGCACTAACTTCAACCAAAAGTAGAAACTTGACAGACTGAGTGCCAGAGATGTTTGCTTTTAATTTTAGATCCTTTGTTTTTGTAATGACCCTTTTTTTGGACACAATAACATATAAGTTATGGTATATTAGGTGAAATTTTAACACTTACTGTTTGATATAGATATGGTAAATTTATCTATAATAATTTGTAACATTGACTTAAGTGTCTCTGTGTCTATAATTGTAATTGTTTAAGTGTAACAATTGTTTGTAAACCTATTAAATAAATAAATAAATTCTCTATCCCACTTAGTTAATTATTAGAAATGGGCGGAAGGTTGCAACCTTTAAAATACATGTGGTTATATAGTCAAGCTCTATTAAAAATGCCGGCAGAAGTGAAAACTTGAATATTAACGTTGTGCATTTTTGATATTTTGGAATGGTTAGGGAATAGTTTTGCACGAATTGCTTTAATTATCAGTATAAAAGTACCATCATGTATGTGGTAGAATACAATATTTATTTATTGCGCTATCGTACACAAACATGACAATTTATATTACATTAAAAAAGTTTATCTCAAGAAAAATCAACTTACATGAATCACATTTAAGCGCAACTAGCGACATCTATTGTAAAAAAAATGCATTTTCTTCGCACTAAAGCTGCCACGGGGACAAAATAAAATATTACTATGTTTCGTCCAATATATTGAAAGTCAACAACCTTTCCAATTTTATAGAGTGTCATGATGCGATCAGCCCACGTGTTTAACCTGACGCGATTTTAACATTTTTCACCCATACAAAAAAGTGTACAACGCCGCTAAAGAAATTTTCACTTTAAAATTGGGTGGTCTCGTGAGTGGGTTCGTAACGTTCTCTAAAATATAGTTGAGTGAAGCGATGGCTGGTTCATGACGTGTCATGCTCGTGAACGGTTACTACCAGCTGAGATGATTCTCTTCTATATCAGGGATGTTACGGAGCTACGACTTCGATTCCGTTAAGTCGGAAATTCTGATTATTATTACACATTCAGATTCAATTTTGCCTCCGAAACTTTTAAATCGGAGTTTTTAATCGGAGATCGAAGCATAGCAAAAAGCGATGGCGGCCTGTGTCGACTGTTACGAAATGGTTCACACCCGTCGTGTTAGGAGTCTGTGTGATAAGTAATTTTAAATTAGAAAAAGTTATTTCATAATTTAAATGAATTGACCGAATGACGTTTTTATTTGCTCTTAAATGAAAAATAGTTCTCTTGTGACCAGTTCTGACTCTGCCTACGACTTCGGCTCCGACTCCGATAAATCAAATTTAAAAACTCCGACTCCGACTTCGATTCCGATAAATATACTTACCTCCGTTACATCCCCCCTGCCCTATACTACTTTACTATTGCAATGTTATCTAGTCATATCTAGTATATATTAAAAATGTGTACTTATAATATGTATGACACATGTAAATTTCATAATTTATGTAATGAAAGTTGACTTCGTGAATCACCTTTGAAGTTATTTTCAATAAACAAAATACAAGAAACAATGTTTTTCTAAAACATCCGAAAAAAAACCTTAGCAGTGCTGAACTCTACAATCAAAGTTTCACATTAAGTAGAGCTTTTGATTGACTCAAACAAAAACTTTGATGTCAAATGAACATTTTATAATGAAGAAAGTGTATTTTTGTGAGTCAACAATAAATAAAAAAACATGATTAATCACCCAACAGACTATGAACTGATGAGCGTTTCGGCGTACACCCGTGCCAAAACAAAACAAATTTAACCTCGTCTTATTTGCGTATTCAATTTGGGTGCAGCCACTAAACTCTTTAGTAAAATTACCATAATTAACGTTCGATAATCAAAACATTATATTGTGAACTATTCTATATGTTGACAAATGCACATCGGCGGCGGCCAACGATGCGACGCGAGCCAGTAAGCGCTGCGGCCGCGGCAACGTAACACGTGTCCGTGAAAATCACACAGTGATGTCGCAACGAAGTTTAACCTGACGTGACCAAAACAGTGCTACAACAAACCCATCCGTAAACCGAACCACATGTAAGTACTTATCGTGCAAAGAAGATATAAATAAAAATCATATAAAAAAATAAACCGCAAAGTTTTATCGATACAAAACAAATAAGTTTTAAATTTATTAAAAGATTGTGATTGTAAAATGGAACGTTAACTTCGGTTGGAATGATCGATAAGAATGTTAACACACAATAATAAATATAAATTGTGTCATTGGAATATAAAATGTTAAACATTCCCGGTGATGTGTCAGTCGTAATTGCGAGAAAATTGCTTACAATAGATATCAATGGATATTTGTGCAATATTTTTGATAAGCGAGAGTACTATTTGGATGTTGGCCAGGTATAAAAATACAATGCCTGTGACTGTCGCATCTTGTCTGCCTGGGAACCCGGGCGGTTCGCTGACAATCGCTGATAAGTTTCTGGTGACCACATTCCTTACACTTGTAAACACATTCTTGAGTGGGTCTACTGTGGGCTACTGTAGCGCAGACTATTCTCTAAGTGCGCATCCTTGATTACAACGTTGCGGCATACCAATTTATTTATTTCTTAGACTCTCACAACATTGAGTACATAAATAAAAATAATAATACAATATCTAGACATGTACAATATTATATTATTACTAAAAATCACTCAATCAAAATCAATCACAAACTAGAAATAATACTGACTTTCTGTCTGTTCTTCGGCAAGAAGCTCCACGATGTTTTGATATTTAATATAAAAAGTTGGCTTAAAGCTAAGTATCCCATCACTTATATACTTATTTATAGAAAGACTATAGCTAGCTGTTGTGATGTTACACCTATGACATCATGTAGACCATTGTTCCCAAAACTCAATGTACTTACATTGCCATGCATGTATATAATGGAATGTTGTGTCATTTATTTGTTATTAAAGATGAAAATTTTCATTTTAAAACGATCAGACATCGTGGCAGATTATTGTTACCCAATATGCAAACACATCTATATAAAAGAAAGTGTTACCCAAATTGTATACAAATTTATAATAAGTTACCATAGTCAGCAAAAGAACTCCCTCTAACATTATTCAAAAGGAAATTGTTTAAATTCCTGCTTTTACTCAGTCAAGGAATACCTTGAAACTAAATCACCAATGATTTAATTTAATTGACATTCATGCTAATTCATTAATATCTTTATTTGACTTATTATTAATATGTATTATCATTTTTCGTATATAATGTTTGTTTATTGATCTTTTCATCTGACCGGTTTTAATTCATATACGTAAATTAATAAAGTATAAATGATACCTATCTATTTTTTATACTCGATCCAAATATTGTATTAATTTCCATTTAATAATATTGCATGTTATGAAAATAAAATAAAATAAATAGATAATCACATGCCAGATTGAGCCAAAATAGATGAACTGTGTTATATTATATTTAAGAAATTATTATACTCTATTTTTTGTGATTAAATAAAATTCAATTCAATTCAATAGCTAGACTAGTAGTGCGTAGTCTACGCTCGACTAGAAAAAATTACGAGACCAACCTATGTGTCTACGTAGTAGCTTAGAGCGAAGTTGTAGCGCAAAGCCTTTTTACATGCACTCTCGTCGACGACTGCAACGAAGGTTTCATTCGAGATTATCACGACTGTAAACAAAGGACACTTAAGGCAGATGCATCTCATCTCATGCGGTCTTAAAAAAAATTTTTATTCTGTAATTAAAATGAAAGACTGCTACTACAAATATTTCTTCAGCAAACAAACAATGCACGTCTTGCAAGTTATTTTTTCGTTTGATTGCATTTTCATACTGTTTTTTTTTAAATGTTTGCTTCTAGCATTTAATATTAAAGGCTTAAAGTATATAAGAAAGTCAATTTCCTATAACAGTAGTAATAAATTATTTTTTGTTTAATTTTTATTGCACTTTCTGTTTCCCGCTAAGTTTTGAATCTCCGACACCTCCTAGGTTGGCTGGAAGAGATCTCTTTTAGAGATAAGCCCACCTTTGCTTACTATGTATTTGACTATATGTTTTAAACTATATGATGCAATAAAGAGTATAAATAATATTTTTTTCGTTTGATGGATTCGATGTTTGCAGAAAATATGCAGATAAGCATTTTGAATACATTGTTCGAAAATTCAATATTAAGGCCCATACAGAGGAGCGTGCGGTTAAATTCATTGCGCACGTATACTTTACAGTATTTTTTTTAATTTCAATCGAACTTCCTCGGAACCTCCTCCTCACCCGCTCGTGGCGCCATTTGAAACTGCGAACCATTTTCTCATTAAAAAAAATTTGCTTCATTCGCCCGGATAGCGAAAGGTGCTGGTTCGAGTCCCATCTGCTGCCTGACTAAAAATAATCTTCGCCAACACGTTTTTATAAATCACACTAATATTATAAAGGCGAAAGTATGTGTGTATGTTTGTTACTTTTTCACGTCTAAACGGCAGGAGCGATTTTAATAAAATTTGGTATGGAGTTAGCTGACACCCTAGATTAACACATAGGCTACTTTTATCCCAAAAAAATGTTAGGTTCCAGAGAAATTTTCAAGAAACTAAGTTAACGCAGACGAAGTTGCGGGCGACCTCTAGTATGTTTATAATACATCCAGCTGGCTCTGTATTGAGCTATTTTTTTTCGGTTAGCAAATAGCACTAAATGTTATCGTCCTACTAAAAACACGTCTCGTAAGTACATTTAATTTCAACTTATGTAAATTAGCAATCAACTTACGGTGGGTACTTAAGTCTGTCTCGGTAGAGGTCAAGTTTGATTAATATTAGCATTGCTTTATCTATTAGCAACTTGGATGATACGAAGTACGGCGACAATTTGACGTGCATACGAGTATGATTGGTGACCAAAAAATAACTATCTCGTGCTCTTCGGAGCTTCAAAACTTATTGTAACTATATATCTATATCCTAAATAATGTAATGGAAGGTGATTTCAGAAGTATGTCTGAAGTAATTTTTCAACTTGACGACTCTGTATATATCATCAATACAGGGAGAAAAAAGCAGCCCTTGCTGAGTTTCTTGCCGGTTCTTCTCGGTACAAGGTCTCCCGCCGTAGTTTTGCGAACCGATGGCGTAGCTTCTTGACCTTCACAAGTGCTTGTAACAGCCTAGACTGAATAAATGACTTTTCATTTCATTTCATTCAAAAGGCACGTTAAGCTTTTTGACGTGACAACGTCTTATTTATTTTATTTATTTATTTATTCTAATAAACTGAAGATTATGAGTTTGCGGCGTTAGCTTTCGAGACGTTAGGGTCGTGGTCGGCTGACAGGAAGCGGTTTATGAAGGGTATGTCGAATCGACTGATTCTCTCTTCGGGTGATCAGAGGGCTGGCAGCTATTTCGCACAGACAATCGCTATATAGTTCTATATAGTTTAGCCATTCAGCGAGGTAATGCTGCCAGTGTTCTGGGTACCATGCCCCAAATTGGAATTTTGGATGACATATTCTTCCTGTGCATATGTATATAAATATTTTATGGTTAATTTTATATAGTATACCTGTTTTTCATGATGGTGGATATATTTTTTGTTTGTTAATCTGTTATTGTAGTTTATTTGTATTTATGTGAATGCTGTATTCACCTATAAAAAAGCTTACCTTTAAGTATGGTATTTATATATTTTTTTAAAATTGTAATGTAAAATTATAAGTTGTTGGTAAATCTTTGTCAATAAAAAAAATATGTTAATTTTTTAGTTTGATATTGTTGTGACGTAATTACAGTTTTTTGTGAATTAATAATTATTTATTGTAATTACAACGGCATAATACCACAATTCGTAAAAAAAATTTAGAAACATGAGGATTCGCACTCATTTTTCTCGCAAAACAATAGACAGTCATACATAATTTTATTCCAACGATCTGCATAGACATCACACTCAGGATTATCGGCCAGAAGTGCATTAACTTCAGTCATAATGGTACAAAGAGGATATTGATGTCTTGTAAATCGATGACCACCGGCTGCACGCACGAAAAAGTGTCACGTTCCGCGGTGTGTGTCAGGTGAAGTCGGGGGGGAGATTTACGTAAGCAGATTTATTACAATTATTTACCCCCTCCTCCCCCTTGTCAGCAAAAGTAAGCATAGCTCTTACTCCCCCCCTCACGTGCTTACGTAAACATTGGTACCTACATGCATTTTTCCTTTAATGTATTCTGTTTTTTATTGATTCATGAGCTTTCATGAGCAGCAGTACTGAAATAGGCTTAGGATAGAGGACTTTAACGCACATAGTATTCATTTAAACAAACTTTATTGACACATTATTCAACATAGAGTAAGGTACTATTACGAACAAATTTCTTTCGAATTTTTGGTATATGTATATAGTCTTCAGTCCACGACACCCGAATCCATGATGCTGACGTAATCACTATCTCGACCCCCCACCCCCCCCATGTCATCAAAAATAAGCAATGCAAAGACCCCCCTGCCAACTATAGTGCTTACGTAATACTTGAATGGCCCCTGACCTGGAGGAGCCTAACTCGGGCCCCCATAGAGCTACAGACGCGGGCTTGGGCTTAAAATAATCGGAACAAAAAGCCCCATAAAACTGCTCCGATGAAAACGGCGAACGACACGTTATCACGTAAAATTATCGTCAGGAAACCGACTTTACAGACAACAATTTGATCCCGCCTGATCGTAAGCTGCTGCCATAGCTTAGTACCGCACATGGGCCACACGCCACAGCCACAAACGCCGCCACGAGAAGCTAGAAGCGGCTACTAAAGTGGCTAAAGCGCGCGACAGCGGCCGACTAAGGGAGAGAGGGGTTGGGAATCGCGCGAGTGACGTGTGGCGGCGTTTTGTATCGGCGCATTAAGTGGCCGGTGCGAGCCACAAGAAGCGAGCAACGACAATTTGTAGCGTGTGGCGGCCACTCTAAAAAAAACCCGGATAGCGAGGGTGCTGGTTCGAGACCCGTCTGCTGTCTGGTACGCGTGGAATTTTTTCTAGTAAAATTTTC